GGGGGAGAGAGTCCCTGTGAGTTATTTCTTCAAGAAAGAAAATTGAGAGAAAACTTAATGCATTTGAACCTACTGAGAAGAGATTTGTATAATCAGAAGAGAGTTTGGGGCTATGTTAATGATAAGTGTCTAGAAAGCTATGGGGCTGGAGGAGAAGACTAATTCCAACGAAAGGAAAAAGTTGTGCTGGAAAAACCTAAAAGGATGGTAAAACTAACAAGACGGGAGATAATGAATAGGCCTAAACTAAACGAAATAAAAAGCCTTCAGAGGTATTTGAAACGTTGCCATCCATTAGTTTGGAGGCCCGTTAAAGAATTGCAGAACTGAGCTTTGTCGTTGTGTTTTTGTTTGTTTGTTTTGCTTCCCGGTGAAAGGGACAGAAGGCCACTCAGGATGGTGAGTGTGAGAGGAATCCTCCCTGTAGTGAAGCTGCCCCCAGCTTTCCATCCCAGGAAACTGCAAGGAAGCTTGGTTTGGTGCCAAATGGAACAGGGGAATTTGGGACCACAAGTAATTTTTAAAGAAATTTGCGGCCTGGTTGGAGTAGCTCAGTGGTCAAGCGTGGACTTATGGGTCAGGAGGTCACAGCTGGATTCCAGTCAGAGCACATGCCCGGGTTGTAGGCTCGATCTCCAGTAGGGGGCATTGCAGGAGGCAACTGATCAATGCTTCTCATCCAGAAGAAACAATAGCAGAAACTGAGCCCCAAAGACTTCCGATGTTGTTATCTGACACATTTAAAATAATTATGCTTACTATATATTTTTTTCAGGGTTGCCATTTAATCAGTGTTATTGTGGTAACATTGGCAAGATTTTTACATAAGAGGTGGGCCTCCGTTTCATAGTTATTTCTTTTTTGGAAGGGTAAAGGGGTGGTTTGTTTGTTTAAAAAAATTTTTTTTTAAAGTATGGTATAACTTGGAATCAGGAGAACTTGAATGAACTCCCACACGCACTGCAACATGGGAGAAGAGAAGCCGCCAGACTGGACACAGCTGCCTCTCCTTTGTGGAGGAGGTGGGGCCTGCTTCTGGGAATGAAAAAGAAACTGAATGCAAGAGAGTGGCGTTGAAAGGGCATGGGGAGAAGGGGAACCACAACCTTTTATTTTAAACCTTAAGGTTTAAATGTAAATTGAAGACGTTGGGTAAATTTGGACAAGAAAAAAAACACCATTGCTGGATCGGTTTGGCTCAGTTGATAGAGCGTCGGCCTGCGGACTGAAGGGTCCCGGGTTCGATTCCGGTCAAGGGCATGTACCTTGGTTGCTGGCACATCCCCAGTAGGGGGTGTGCAAGAGGCAGCTGATCGATGATTCTCTCTCATCGATGTTTCTAACTCTCTATCCCTCTTTCTTCCTCTCTGTGAAAAATCAATAAAATATATAGTAAAAGAAGAAACACCATTCCTTTTAGAGTAGACTGAAGCAGTGATTTTTAAAACAAAGAAAGCAGAACTAGGACATTTTAAATTTTTAATCCTTTCCTTTCAGGTTACCTAAGACCACTTTTGATATAGAAAACTGTAGGAAGTTAGTAACTGCCACAAGCAAACGCCAGGTGGTGGCCCGTGTCAATTTTCCACAGAGTCCTGCTTTGTGGGGTGTCTGAATGCACTGCTCGGGGTCTCTGCTCACATTTGCTGGAATCAATCGTGGCAGATTTTAGCCCACAGGTCGCTTTCCCCCATATTTCTTTGTAAACTCTTCCGCATTCTTACAGAATTTTTTACGGTCCTTAGAGTATGCTTCAGCTCGGTCAGCCCGAAGCCGGTGCTCAGGCTGGGGGTCATTCACCAGTGCTATGAGAGACTGGATTACTTGGTCGGTTTTCGTTGCTGGCTTCCAGTTTTTAGCACTAATTACTGGCAGACAGACCTGTCCCTTTTCATCGATGTTGGGGTGATAGATCTTTGTTTCAAATGTGATCTTTGGTGGTTTGAATGGGTATTCTGCTGGAAAGTTGATTTGGATTCTGAAGGTCCCCTTATCATATGGAGGGTTGTCAGGAATAATAAGCCCTTGCCAAGTCAATGAATTAGCTTCATCAGCTTCCTGCTGGCCGCCATCTTGGATCTGGTCTATGCTTACTATATTTAAATGAAACAAATTTGAAAATATATTAGAAAACTATAAAATATGATCTAACATTTAAAATAGAGGTTCTAAAAATTAAAAATATAAAGTTTTTAATTAAAAACGGAATGGATAGCCCTAGCTGGTTTGGCTCGGTGGATAGACCTGAGAACTGAAGGGTCCCAAGTTGGATTCTAGGGTGCATACCTCGGTTGCATGCTCCTCCCCTGCCTGGGCCCTCCTCTCTGACTCCGGCCTCTCTGCGCGTGCAGCGTGTCTCCGTTCCTTAGGCTTTTACAGCTCCTCTGATTTTCCTTCCAGTTTTCTCCTTGCTTCTCGTTGTAGAATTTCCAGTCAGTCGACTTTCTTGTAGTTCTGGGTAATGTCCATTTTATATTTTAGTTGTATTTTATTGAAATTGTGTGAGGCTGCGGTTAGGTGTTTACCTGAGCAGCCATCTTGGATCCTCCGTCCTCCCTCTCCAGAAGCATTAGTTAAGAGGTCTGCCGAAACTGGTTTGGCTCAATGGATAGAGCGTCGGCCTACAGACTGAAGGGTCCCAGATTCGACACTGGTCAAGGGCATGTACATTGGTTGCGGGCCCACCCCCGTTGGGAGATGTGCAGGAGGTAGCTGATGGATGTTTCCAGCTCTCTATCCCTCTTTCTTCCTCTCTGTAAAAAAAAATCAATTTTATATATATATATAAATTAAAGAGGCTTATAAGTAAAGCAAGCTAACACCATGTACATACAGTGATAAAATTTAACATCATGTAAAGATGAAGAATGAGCATTGTCTATGAAGAATTCTTGCCAGGAATAAAAGACTATTTTATTTTTTGGTGCAAATGGATAAGAAAAGTGTAACATTCCCAGACCATGAAGCTATAAAATGGACACAGCACAAACAGGACAAGCACACAGTCTGCACACTGTACACAAACAACAGACAGCAATATCTCATCCAGGTAGAAAAAACAGGAGGCTGGGAGAGGAATGCTGTGAGCAGACAAGTGCAGGGATCCAGGATGGCAGTCTCACACAATGCATTTCTGTCTTCTTCAAGCACACCAGCCAGCATGTTGACATACCAAGGAAAACAGTGTAACATCATGTGAAGATTACATGCATTTGAAAGGACATCATTCACTCAAAGAAAAGACTGACTGTGCTCAGTTACTGAGGCAGTTCAGGCCCCCAGCCGCACAGACACAACCACCAGGCTCCGTGGAGGTCGGGACAGAGGTTCCCACCTTCCACAAAGACCGTCTTTTCTTTCTTTAAATAGACATTTTATTGGTTTTTTACAGAGAGGAAGGAGAGGGATAGAGAGTTAGAAACATCAATGAGAGAGAGACATCGATCAGCTGCCTCTTGCACACCCCCTACTGGAGATGTGCCGCAACCAAGGTACATGCCCTTGACCGGAATCGAACCTGGGACCTTTCAGTCCGCAGACCGATGCTCTACCACTGAGCCAAACCGGTTTCTGCCAAAGAAGGCCTTTTCAAGAAAGCATCACTATGACACGTGCTGTGGCAGAACACACACTTTGATTTTATTTATTTATTTTTTAAAATTTATTTTATTGATTTTTTACAGAGAGGAAAGGAGAAGGATAGAGAGCTAGAAACATCGATCAGCTGCCTCCTGCACACCCCCTACTGGGGATGTACCCGCAACCAAGGTAAATGCCCCTGACGGGAATCGAACCTGGGACCTTTCAGTCCGCAGGCCGATGAGCCAAACCAGTCCTGACCAGAATACACACTTTCAAAACTTAGTTCGATCCTGGGGAGGTCACTGCGGAGAGAACACTGAAAAGGAATAGCTCCTTCCAGGCCAGCAGCACCATCAGTGTTAAAGGACGCAGACACCAGGAAGCGCAAACAGACACCTTGGTTGCGGTCAGGCAGCTGATGGACGTTTCTCTCTTATCCATGTTTCTAACTTTCTATCTCTCTTCCTTCCTCTCTGATGCTCATGCTCTGCAAACAAACAGCAGCAGTCAAGGGAGCAATGACCCCGTGGAAAGCTAGGGGTGAAGTGGATATTCCATGATGGCTCCTAAGCATCGGCGACCACAGATGCAGGGCCTGTGCCTGCCTCATCCTGACATTCCCGCTGCTCCTCCATCCACGGAAATCTCTCCATAATAACCTTCCCACTGCAACAGGCCCTGCTTTTCCATGCACAACCTTCAGCTTCATTCTTTTTTTTCTTTTTTTATTTTATTTTATTGATTTTTTACAGAGATTGGGGAGGGTGCAGGCTGGGCTGAGGGACATCCCACTCCCCCAGCCCCGTGCACGAACTTCATGCACCGGGCCTCTAGTAGTATAATAACTATGTATGGTGCCAGGTGGGTCCTTGGGGCATCACTTTGTAAATTATGTAATTATCTAACCACTATGCTATGCACCTGAAACTGATATAAAACTGATATAAAATAATATTGAATGTCAACTGTAATTAAAAACTAAAATAAAAACTTGTATGAGTCAATGAAAAAATGTGGATACTGGCTGGATATTATATGATATTAAGATATTGTTTTAGCTAAAACCGGTTTGGCTCAGTGGATAGAGCATCGGCCTGCAGACTGAAAGATCCCAGATTCGATTCCGGTCAAGGGCATGTACCTTGGTTGCAGGCACATCCCCAGCAGGGGGTGTGCAAGAGGCAGCTGGTTGATGATTCTCTCTCATCGATGTTTCTAACTCTCTATCCCTCTCTCTTCCTCTCTGAAAAAAATTAATTATAATTAATTAATTTGTTTTATCACCAAAGGGAAGCTGGGTTACTGTTATAAAGGCGACAGGGAGGACTGGGTCTAAATGTAGTCACTAAGCACCTGGAGCCCTTCCACCACCTGATTTATTACCTATTTGTTTATGGTCCCCTCACACTGTGAGGTCCATGAGGGTAGAGGACTGTGTCCATCCAATCCGTTGCTCTGTCCCTGGTTGCTGTAGTAGAGTAGTTGTTTGATAAATATTTGCTGGATAAAGAAAAAGATATCATAGTGTTGTTTTTGTTGTTGTTTGTTTTTTAAATATATTTTATTGATTTTTTACAGAGAGGAAGGGAGAGAGATAGAGAGCCAGAAACGTTGATGAGAGAGAAACATCGACCAGCTGCCTCCTGCACACCTCCTACCGGGGATGTGCCCGCAACCAATGTACATGCCCTTGACCGGAATCGAACCTGGGACCTTTTAGTCCGCAGACCGACACTCTACCACTGAGCCAAACCAGTTTTGGCAAAGATATCATTGTTAATTTTGCTAATTGTAAAAGTGGTATTGCTATGTTATGTTAAAATTTCTAGATGGAAAAATAGGACAGTATTGCCCTGGTGGGTGTGGCTCAGTTGGTTGGGCCTTGTCCTGTGCACTGAAAGGTCGCCAGTTTGCATCCAATCAGGGAACATACCTGGGCTTCCGGCTTGATCCCCTAAAAAGGGGCATACAGGAGGCAGTTGATCAATGTTTTGCTCTCACATAAAAGTTTCTTTCTCTCCCTCCCTCTCCTCTCATCTCTCTTAAAAAAAAAAAAAAATCAATTAAAACAACAACACCCAGAATATCTTTAAAGCATCCAGAGTAAGGTTATATGGTATATGCATTGTCAAAACTCATACACCTGCAACATATAAGGCCTGTACATTTCACTGCATGCCAATTTTACCACAATAAAAATTAAATTAAATTAAAAGAAGCCAGCCAAACTGGTTTGGCTCAGTGGATAGAGCGTCGGACTGTAGACTGAAAGGTTCCAGGTTTGATTCCGGTCAAGGGCATGTACCTTGGTTGCAGGCATGTCCCCACTAGTGGGTGTGCAGAAGGCAGCTGACCGATGTTTCTCTCTCGACAATGTTTCTAACTCTCTATCCCTCACCTTTCCTCTCTGTAAAAAATCAATTAAAAAAAAAAAAAGCAGCCATAGAAACAGATTGCCTTCAAAGAATGAAGTGGAAGATGCACCTGCGAATGGAAATGCTAATGAGGAAAATGGGGAGCAGGAGGCTGACAATGAGGTAGAAGAAGAGGAAGAAGGAGGGGAGGAGGAGAGGAGGAAGAGGAAGGTGATGGTGAGGAAGAGGATGGCGATGAAGATGAGGAGGCTGAGGCAGCTACAGGCAAACGGGCAGCTGAGGATGATGAGGATGACGGTGTTGACACCAAGAAGCAGAAGACTGATGAGGATGACTAGACAGCAAAAAAAGGAAAAGTTAAGGCCTCTGTGACCTATTCACTCCCCACTTCCCGTCTCAGAACCTAAACGTGGTCACCTTTGTTTTTGTTTTTTTTTTTTCCAAATAGGACAACCAGCCTCATCCAGGCCCCACCCAAGGCACTCACAGATCAACACCCCAGCACTATACTAACTCAACACATCCAGATCTAAGCCTTCATCACTTGATTCAGCAGACCCTCAAGTTCCCGCAAAAGTTTCCAGCCATGTCTGAGAGGCAGCCGTGGGGCAGGGGCAGGCGAGGAGCGAGCTGTTCCGGGCCTGGATGCTCTGGGCCTGGCCTCTGTTGCTCTGGTTCGTTCCACAACCAGCTGCTCCGGGTCTGGTCACTGCCGCTCCCGACCCAGTTGCTCTGGACTTGGCTGTTGCTGCTACAGGCCTGGCCACACCCGACTCGGCTGCTCTGGGCCCAATTGCTCCGGGCCCGGCTGCTCCGGGCCTGGCCGCACCAGACCCGGCTGCTCCGGGCCTGGCCGCTCCCAGCCTGGCAGCCGCTGCTCCGGGCCTGGCCACACCAGACCGGACTGCTCCAGGCCTGGCCGCTCCCAGCCTGGCAGTTGCTGCTCCAGGTCTGGTCACTGCCACTCCCGACCTAGTTGCTCTGGACTTGGCTGTTGCTGCTACAGGCCTGGCCACACCCGACCCGGCTGCTCTGGGCCCGGTTGCTCCGGGCCCGGCAGCTCCGGGCCTGGCTGCTCCCAGCCTGTCAGCCGCTGCTCCGGGCCTGGCCGCACCAGACCTGGCTGCTCCGGGCCTGGCCGCTCCCAGCCTGGCAGATGTGGTCACCTTTGAGTAGAGACTCCCGCCTGCCTGCCCGCCTGCCCACCCACCGTGGGCAGCGCCACCTGCAGATGACACACGCTCTTCACTGCCCAACCAAAACCACCACGTGAATTTGCAACAGGGGAGAAAAAAGAACCAAAACTTCCAAGGCCCTGCTTTTTTTCTTAAAAGTACTTTTAAAAGGAAAATTTGTTTGTATTTTTTATTTACATTTTATATTTTTGTACGTATTGTTAGGGGTCAGCCATTTTTAATGATCTTGGGATGACCAAACCAGCCTTTGGAGCATTCTCTGTCCTACTTCTGGCTTTACTTGTGGTGTGACCATGTTCATTATAATCTCAAAGGAGAAAAAAAAAGCAAAAACAACAAAAAAACAATCTTATTCCGAGCATTCTAGTAACTTTGTGTATGTACTTAGTTGTACTCTAAGTAGTTGGGTTGTTTGAGATGGTTAAAAAGGCCAAAGATAAAAGTTTATTTTTTCCTTTTTTTTTTTGTCTATGAAATGGCTGTTTATTTTATTTTATTTTTTGGCCTGTTTGATGTATATGTGAAATAATGTTGTCCACAATAAATGGGAATTTTATTTTGCTGAGTTGTTCTAAAAAAACAAAAACAAAACAAAACAAAAAACACAAAGAATGAAATGGAGAATAGGTAAAATTCTACGTGATCGTTGAAAGTAAAAACACACACACACAATACCAAGTTAGTGTCTTCTAAAGTTTAACTATTAAGATAGAATTAGGGCCAAAACCGGTTTGGCTCAGTGGATAGAGCATCGGTCTGTGGACTGAAAGGTCCCGGGTTCGATTCCGGTCAAGGGCATGTACCTTAGTTGCGGGCATATCCCCAGTAGGGGGTGTGCAAGAGGCAGCTAATCGATGTTTCTAACTATCCTTCTGTCTTCCTCTGTGTGAAAAAAATCAATAAAATATATATTTTTTAAAAAAGATAGAATTAGGGCATACCAAAACAATAATATGTACATTGGGAGGCTGATGAATAAAGTTAAATTTTCTAGTTTTCTTGTATTGTTTGTAAGGAGAGTGTGCTGATCATCTAACTATGTTTGCAGACTTAAGGTAATCCACTGGCCTGAGTGCATCAAAGTCCAATAAGATATGAACTAGAGTTTGCAGCCAAGAAAGTAAGGATTTATTAAAGACTAGAGGCCCAGTGCACAAAATTTGTGCATGGGTGTGTGTGTCCCTCAGCCCAGCCTGCACCCTCTCCAATCTGGGACCCCTCGAGAAATGTCCAATTGCCCGTTTAGGCCCTATTCCAGTAGGATCGGGCCTAAACGGGCAGTCAGACATCCCTCTCACAATCAAGAACTGCTGGCTCCCAACTGCTCGCCTGCCTGCCTTCCTGATTGCCCCTAACTGCTTATGCCTGCCAGCCTGATCACCCCCTAACCACTCCCCTGCCACCCTGATTGATGTCTAACTGCTCCCTTCCAACCTGTTTGCCCCCAACTGCCCTCCTCTGAAGGCTTTGTCCTCCCCCAACTTCTCTCCCCTGCAGGCCTGGATCCCCCCCAACTGCCCTTCCTTGCAGGTCTGGTAGCCCCTAACTTCCCTCCTCTGCCAGCCTGGTCACCCCTAACTACCCTCCTTTGCAGGCCTGGTCCCTCCCAACTTCTCTCCCCTGCTGGCCATCTGTGGTGGCCATCTTGTGTCCACATGGGGACAGCCATCTTTGACTGCATGGGGGCAGCACTCTTGTGTGTTGGAGTGATGGTCAATTTGCATATTACTCTTTTATTAGATAGAATATGGTAACACACCCAGAGTCACAGGTAGCTAGCTCATGCTCTAAAACTGGCTCCTGGATGGCTTCCAGGGGATGGATTACATAGGGGAAAATATCATTAATCATGATGACTAATAGGGTTAGATTGGTGATTGGTTGGTGCTAGGGTAGGGCTAATTGATTATTATATTTGGTCCTGATGTCAGCCATGGAGTTGCTCTGTCCAACTTCACAAGGTTTTGTTCTGTGGGAGCGTTTCACTTTCCTGGGTCTGGAGCAAAATCACAAATGAGGCCAAGATATTGTGTTTAGTTTAATTGAAAACTCTGTCTCGCCCTGCCTGGTTTGGCTCAGTGGATAGAGTGTTGGCCTGTGAACTGAAGGGTCCCCGGTTCGATTCCAGTCAAGGGCATGTACCTTGGTTGTGGGCACATCCCTAGTGGGGGGTGTGCAGGAGGCGGCTGATCAATGTTTCTGTCTCATCGATGTTTCTAACTCTCTATCCCTCTTTATAGAGAATCAATAAAATATATTTTTTTAAAAACACACCAACCAAACACTTTCAAATAAAAGGATTCTTCCCATGGAACCCAGGGGAATAAGTTATATAGACACCACTGTCACCCCAACAAATGATCTTACTAACCTACTGAAGGACATATTGGTTACTTCAGAGATTTTGGTAATTATGAATGAAGCTCCTATAAATATTCACATGCAGGTTTATTCGTGCAGAGAAATTTTCAGTTCACTTGAGTAAATACAAAAAAGTGCAATTGCTGGCATGTATGGTAAGAGTATTTTAGTTTGGTATTAACCTATCAAACTGCCTTCCAAAGTAAATGCACCATTTTGCTTTCCCACCAGCAACGAATGAGAACTCCTGTTGTTCCACACTGGCATTTGGTGTGGTCAGTGTTCTGGATTTTGTCCATTCTAATAGCTGTATAGTAGTATCTCATTGCTTTAATTTGCAATTCTTCAATGATATATGATGTGAAGCATCTTTTCATGTGGTGTATCTTCTTTGGTGAAGTGTCTGTTCAGGTCCTTTTCCAAGTTTTAAATAAAGTAGTTTGTTTTCTTATAGTTGAATTAAAGAATTCTTTATGTATTTTGAAAAACATTCCTTTATCAGATGTCTTTTTCAAATTTTTCTCCCAGTGTGTGGCTTATACGCTCATTCTCATGACAGTGTCTTGCACATAACAGAGGTTTATATATATATATATATATATATATATATATATATATATATATATATATTGACTTCAGAGAGGAAAGGAGAAGGAGAGAGAGAAACATCAGTGATGAGAGAGAATCATCGATCAGCTGCCCCTCCACATGTTCCCCCACTGGGGACCAAGCTCAAACCCCAGGCCCTTGCCCAACAACTGAGCCACGCTTGCCAGGCACAGAAGTTTTTAATTTTAATGAAATCCAGATTCTTCATTATTTCTTTCATGGCTGGTGTCTTTGGAGTATCTAGATAGTGTCGTCTTTCACCAATAGCACTATTATATTTATTTGTTTGTTTATTTATTTATTGTTTAAAGTATTACATATGTCTCCTTTTTCCCCCAGAGAGGGAAAGGGGAGGGACAGAGAGAGAAAGAGAAACATCTATGTGAGAGAGAAACGTTGATCTGTTTGCCTTGAGCCCAGCACAGGGATGGGACCTGCAACCTGGGTATGTGCCCTGAGCGGGAATCAACACACAACCTCGGTACATTGTACGATCCTCTAACCAACTGAACTACCCAGCCAGGGCATGAGGTAGTTTTATTTATTTGCAGCAAGTAAAGGAGGCAGGGGATTAACATCCAAAACTCTTCTCCCCAAAGGGAGGCTTAGCCATTGCTGACATACACTATTTGGTCAATTGCACCTGGATTTCTTATTTTGCAGTTGGCTACACTTATCAGGTTGAGTTTCTGTCAAGCTCATCCTGCTTACAGATGGTCTGCAAAATGCTGTACTACATTCTAACATTTAGCAAGAATAACATTTAGTAGTAACATGTAGGATTGCCAGACCTTGAGACTCTTATCTTATAGTAGCAGTACTCACAAAAGGTGGAAACAAGCCAAATGTCAATCAATGGATGAATGGCTAAACAAAACGTGGTATATCTATGTAATGCATTATTCAGACACACACACACACACACACACACACACACACACACACACACAAAGAAGAAGTACTGTTACATGCTAAATAAGGATGAATCTAGAAACCATTATGCTAAGTGGAAGTGGGAAAAGATGTACGTCATCTACCTTATGATTCATTTTTGAAATACTCAGAATAGGCAAATCTATAGGGACAGGAAGTGCACTGTTGGTTGCCAGGGCTGGGGAAAAGGAAGAATAATGAGTAACTACTTACAGAGTACAAGGTTTCCTTTGGGGTGATGAAAATGTTTTTGGGGAAAATA